GGGAGAAGCCCTTTCAGTGCATCGAGTGTGGAACATTTTTTCTTACCAAAGGAGGCCTCACACGTCACGGGCAAGTTCACAAAGGAAGAAAAGATCACAAATGTTTAGACTGTGGGGCAGTATTTGCTTATTTGTCAACCCTGAGAAAACACAGCCTGATAAAGCACGTAGGAGTGACCTCTCTGAAATGTTTGGAGTGCGGTAAATGTTTTTTCAGGAATGACAGCCTTGTGAGGCATCGGAGAATTCATACCAGAGAAAAACCTTATGAATGTCTGGAGTGTGGGAAATCTTTTGCTTACAAGGAATATCTTCACGTCCACGAGAGGCTTCACACAGGAGAGAAACCTCACACCTGCAGGGACTGTGGGAAGGACTTTGTGCGTATTGGTGACCTTCGGACCCATGAGGAGATTCACACAGGGATAAAATCTCATAAGTGCTCTGAGTGCGGAAAACTTTTTGGTTGGAGTTCATCTCTCCGGAGGCATAAGAAAATTCACAAAAGGCTGGAAAATGAAGCCAAAAGGAAAAAAGAAAAAAATTGAATTTCAAAATAATTATGTTAAGGCTGGAATGGAAAAAAGAAGGTTATTTTAAGAGGGGAAAGTAGCCCTTATCAACAAATGAGTCCCAGCCACCAAAACCAACACAAGACCCAAAACAACACATGACACCACCACCAATCTCCTTCACCAGACTCAAACCCAAACCCATCCCATAGATGAAAGGCAACCACCGTCCAGAAACCAGACCACGGCTGCATCACCAGCTGCCACACAACCCGACCCCCAAACCAAGCAAACTGACACACGCCATAAACACATATCCAGGCCTCAAACTCAGAGCCAAACCAAAACCCGGAACATCACATCACAGCCACCCGCTCAGAATATCACATCACAGAACTCAGGAGGTTACACCACAAAACCTCAGGATGTTACAACACAGCCTACAACCCAGGAGATTACTGTACAAGACCTAGGATGTCACAACAATAGAACTCAGAAGGTCATCACACAGCCCATGACCCAGGTCATTACAACCCAGGAGATTACAGCACAAGACCCAGGAGGTCAAAACAATAGAACTCAGAAGGTCATCACACAGCCCATTACCCAGGTCGTTACAACACAGGAGGCTGATAGACACACAGCCAATACCTCAGCCACACGTGTTCTTACGAAAAAGCCAGCCAATCTGCCAACATCAACTCCATCAACCAATCAAGAAATGACAACACAGCCAACCTCCCTACCAGTATTTATAGAGAGACGGCAGCTCCGATCACGCTTTGCTCGCACAAGCACGAAGCCGAAATATATATATGCAGGTCTTCGTGTGTTCTGGTCTTTTCCCATGTAAGAATGAGAGCATCTTGGCAATGTTTCGACGAGGTCTCACTCGCCATCTTCAGGCTGGTGCTT